GTGTTTTTAAAGTCAAATATGAACCTAAATTTCTGGAGGATTCCTGTTTGAGTTATTTCTGTATGCACAGTTGTAGAAATGATCAGATATAAAGAGACCTTCAGTGTAAATGAATAAATGCCCTCCATGATGTTAAAAAATGCTTTATTGCTAAAAAATGCTAGCCATCATCTGAGCCTTCAGTAAGTCCTAGTAGTAACATCAAAGATCAATGATCAACAATCAACAAAGGTAATGATAATGAAAGAATTTAAAATATTAGAAGTATTACCAAAATGTGACATAGAGACATGAAGTGAGCTGATGTTGTTGAAAAACAATGCTGATAGACTTGCTTAACACAGGGTTGCCACAAACCTTCAGTTTGTAAAACAAAAGGCAGTATCTGCAAAGCACAATGAGGTGAAGATGAGATTTATGCCCATCGACATAAGGGCTAAATTATCTAGAACCTTTTGCCTGGTGGACACAGGCATGGAGGGAGGGAAGAACAGGAAATGCAGCCATCCATATGGCCTAAATCTCTGACCCAGGGCTCCAGTTACCACAGGTCCTGCCTAAAACTCCCAGGGGCTGAGGAATTGATGTCCCCCTATGCATAACCTAGTTTTGCAGTGCCCATTAGGAAATGTCATCAAGGGATCAAACCCAAGGCCAGAGGATAGGAGACTGAGGAGCCAAAGAATGCCTAGGAATTGTACTCATAGTGAGTTGGATTCTGGCCCTGGGGTAGCAATTCTTGTTGGCTTGGTCAAAAGGTGAGCAGAAGCCAATTGTGATCCTTTCCCCAATTTGGGACAATGACAGGTATCAGTGAATTGCTCCATTAACACTTTAATTGATATTCTATAAGCACATTCTTATTTCATGATTCTGCCAAGAAGTAGGATAAACCAAATGAGATTAAATGTTGAACATAAATTCTAGCTTATAAGGTCTTGTACCAAGTAGTTGATGGGGGCCAAGGATTGAACGTTAGAATTGGTGGGGATTAATGTATTCTTTAATTTATTAATTAATTCATTAAATTTTTATAGAGCACACACTTGGTACCAGGCACCAAGGAAAGAAGTGAAAGACTTTACCTGCCCCCAAGTGGATGAGAAAGGCAAACACTGGCATTAGAGTATGGCAGGAACCAAGAAGAGGTTTGGCACAGATCACTCTGAGAGCTCAGAGGGGCTCATATAGGCCAACCTTGGGAGGAAAGTGGATCTCAGGGTGGACTTCCTGGAGGAAGTGACACCTGAGCTGGGTCTTACAGGGTGAGTAAGAGTTGGTTATGGAAAAAAGTAGGGGAAGGACAGCCCAGGCAGAAGCACAGGGGAATATCGAATGCTATAAGTTTCCAGAAGTATAAGCAATTTATTTCACAGGCTGTTTTAGGGGAGTTGAAGCTGAAGGGAAAAAACAAGTGTCAGATGAGGAAGGGTGTTGTATGGCACCCTGAGGTGTTTTACCGCAGAGGAAGTGGGAAGCCACTGGACAGTTTTATGTGGAAGAGAGCTGTGACTGGGTCTGAATTTTAGAGGCTCTTTCTAGTCATGATGGGGAGGAGGGCTGGGAAACAGGTAAAGAAGGGAGCCCCGCTTTTAGTGCTGACCCTGTTGCCCTCCCACTGTCTCTCTTGTCCCTCTCACTGTAAAATCTATTATCTAGCCCTTCCCTGCCTTATAAATATGATTTCCTTCTACTCTCCGATTTTAGTGAAATTAGCTCAGCTTACCCAGACATGACATGCTCATTCAAGCTCTGAGTGTTGTTCATTCAGTAGACATTTAGTAAGTGCCTATTGTCTACCAGCCATGGTGTCTGGCATGAAGAACCACAATGAGTGACACATGGGACCTATCTTTAAGGGGTACACAGACCACTAGGGAGGTACCCAGGAAAGCACATCTTTACTTGAGCATGAGAGCAACTGTGTTAAGAGATTAACAGAGCACAAAGAGAGACAGACCGTCCATGAGAAGCTCCCCCACTTCCCTGCCATGCTCAGGCTTCTGCCCTCACCTGCATAGAGGCAGTGTGATGTTTCTAGACACTATACACTAGTCATACTTCTCTTCTACGTAACTATTCAGTGCCCTCTTCCTACCTCAGACCGAAATACCTTAGCATGGCGTGCAAGGCCCCTCTTCAGCTGATATGATAGTGTGATGATTTGGAGCTTGAGCTCTGAAGCTGGACAACAAAATTTTAACCCTGGTTCTACCACTTTAGAAACATGTGACCTTAGCCAGAAATACTTTTTACCTCAGTTTCTTCATCTGTAAAGTGGGGCTGATGACTGTATCAACTTCCTAGGGTCATTGTGAAGATTGAATGACTATGCATGTGAACCTTTAGAATGGTCCTTGGCATGTGAAAAATATTCAGTCATTATTGGCTGTTATTATTCTTGGTTTTTACTCATTTTCTTCTTAGCACCTATATCATGTCAAGAAACATTAACTCCTAATTATTTTTGTGTTGCTTGTCCCATTTAATGTGTTGTCATATTTTTTCCTTTAAGGATGATTTTATTCTCCTTTGAAGCAACATATATCATATATCTATCTGTACTCCTGAGACATCTGTAGTGTTGAATATGTGTTAGGGTGACCAGCCATCCTGATTTGCTCAGGACTGACAGGTTTTTCAGGACACAGGACTTTTAATGCTAAAACCAGAAAAATCCTGGGCAAACCAGGACAAGTTGTTCACCTTGCATGCAGTAGACACTTCACTTTTGCTTCTTATTTACCTCTTATTGGTCCCAAACTTAACTGGAAAGCAAGCTTGCTTTGGCTCTGCCATAAATTTTTATTTATTGGCTAGAAACTACAAAAACACAACTTTGGGGTTTCTTTGGGCTTTCTTGAGATTCCCTAAAGTTTAAAATGGAAGATTTGAAGAATTCTTGAAAAAACTCTCTCCCATCAGCTCAAGGTATATTTACTAGAAATTGTGGGCCATCCCCACAATTCAGACTTCCTTAACCTGGCCCACAGCCCCAGAGGTCTCCTCCTGCCTGTCATTTTCCATCTCTCCCACTTTTCCATCATGACTCTTCATGCTTCCTTCATTTGCTTTCCAGAATCAATATCCTCTTACTTAACTCAGTGGCAAAGCCTCTTTCCTCTCACAAGTATCATGTTTTTCATGAATCCCCCAAGTAGGGCCAAAGGATTTTTCTTCTTTTTCATCCCCACCCAAGCCTCAGCTCCACCTCACTTGCTTTGGGACGGTGACTTGGGCAGTTGCTTGTCAGACAGCATTCCTTACGGATCCACTGAAGCCTCTCTGGGCATCCCTTGAGGCCATGACAAGTGTTTGCTGAAAGCCTGCTCGTTCTTCCATCAAGAAGCTGGCTCAATCGCATCTGGAAGTTCCACCTCACTGTAATAGTGTGCTAGAGCTGCCATGACAGAATGCCACACACTGGGTGACTTAAACAACAGAAATGTATTGTCTCACAGCTCTGGAGGCTAGAAACCCAAGAACAGAGTGTCAGCAGGATTGTTTTTTCTGAGGTAGATGGGGAAGAATCTGTTTCATGCCTCTCTCTTACTTCCCGATGGTTTGCGGGTTTGCACTCTTTGGCATTCCTTGGCTTTGACATTCCTTGATTCCCACACTCAGCTCCACACAGTGTTCTCCCAGAGTGTGAGTCTGTCTCTTTACACGGTGTTAGTTTTATAAAGACAGCAGTCATATTGGATTAGGAATCCTTCTACTTCACTATGACTTGATCTTAGTTAATTACCTCTGCCGTTACTCTGTCTCCAAATAAGGGCCCCATTCTGAGGTCTTGGGGCTGAGGGCTTCAATATGCAAATTTAGAGGGGACACAATTCAACCTTTAACAGCTGGGTCTTCAGGTGAGTCTAAAGAACTCTCCGGGGACCGGAGACCACTCAGATATACTCAAAGTAAAGCACCACACACAATCATTGCTACAAAATCCGTTCCACTTCTCCACTCACTTTGCACTTGATCCTGACTGTTTCTGCTGCCAGTTTCATATCATCACCAGTTCACTTGTTCATCACTCTGTTGGGACTTGTGTCATTATAAGGGTGTTGAGAAATACAATGTATATCTGAGCCACCAGCTCTAATTCAGGGTCTGTCTGGAACTCTCTTTTACAGGAAGCCTACCCAGAAAAAATTGTATCCATGGCATATATGTAATAACTGACATACACGTATTGCAGAGGCAGTGACTCCATCCTGATGAGCAATAATTACAAGCTGGTTGCTTTTCAAAATGCTCTGAAGAACACAGACAGGGGTTTGGAGGAGAATGTGTGTGAGAGAATGCGTGTGCATGTGTGCGTGCATGCAGTAGCTTAAGATAAACAAAATCACCAGACACCTGCCCAACCTTCCTGCAAGCTTTAAACCTTTGCTGGGCACACAGGGAATTGCCTGCATCTCCTCACTCTGGCTGTGACTGCTTCTTTCTGTCAGTTCCCTGAGTTCTGACCCTTTCCCCTCCAAAGAGATAGCTCTGTTCCAAAAGATAAACACCAGTAGTTACAAGGGACTTGGGGGAAAAGTCATACGAATTTCCCAGTTATTATTTCTCTGGTGTTCTCATATAGAAACCCAGCTGATCTTTGTGGATGAAGTATTTCCAACTCTGGCAGTTACAGCCTGAGAGGTGAGGGCAGTGATGGATCTCCCTAAGGGTAGGGGGTCCAGGCAAGGCTGAGGAATAGAGATTCTAGCGTGTCTGCTCACTTCTTTCCAGGACACCCCATCTGGGAGAAATCCCAGGGACAGAGGAGGCACTGAGCTAGTACCTGCTTGTGCTGAGCTGCCAGGCAGGCTGCTGGCTTGCTGCGAGGTGGTGGGTGAGCTGGGCGCTCAACTCCTCTGTGCCAGATTAGGGAGCTCTGGGCTCAGCGCCCACGCACTGCGCTCCAGCTCTGGGCAGCCCTGGTGGGCTGGGGGAAGACGTGAAGCTCCATTCGTGACTGCAAGTTGACTTTTCTTCACTGTCATTGCTGGCAGAATACATACACCAATGCGGACAAGCTCCTAGAAGCGGCAGAGCAGCTGGCTCAGACAGGGGAATGTGACCCGGAGGAGATCTACAAGGCAGCTAGACACCTGGAGGTGCGCATCCAGGACTTCGTGCGCAGGGTGGAGCAGCGGAAGCTTCTGCTGGACATGTCTGTCTCCTTCCATACTCACACCAAAGAGGTATGGACAGTTAGCAAGGAGGGGCATTGGGCTGGGCTGCTTTGTTCTGGCAACAGTCAGGCCAATTTCCTAGCTCCCCAAGGTCTGCCTGGTGTCCTGGGTGGTCTGGAAGTTACTAGCCCCCTGAGGTTGATGATATTAACAACTTGCTTCTGATAATCTGCACTGAGGTCTCAACTAATATGGGGCAAAATTTCCTCCTCATCTCTAGTGAGGAGAGGGGTGGGGAGGCAGATGGTTTGGGGAGTCTGTTAGAGCATTCAGTCTGCAACTGGAGAAATTTGGGAATTCCTGGTATAGAAATAGTCACCTTAAGAGGCAATAATAGAGGATCAGAGATTCCTTTCCCACGCAACCAGTTTCTCTTGGTTGATGTTTCCCATCAGAAATCAGAGTCCTGCAGAACTTAAATCATCTTTGCTACCAGCAGGGAATATACAGAGTTTGCAAATCTGTTCAGTGTTTTTATTTTATTTTTTTTAACAGAGGATGAAATCATCTATATGAAGTCTGCCACAGTGTGCTAATAAAGTGAGAGTGTCCTAACCTTTCTCACTGTGGAGTAAAAGCCAGTGAAGGGAGGGAAACTGGGGTGCCGTCCTTGCAGGAGGCTGGGCTTAAATCTGGCCCCTGAATCATTCACAGAGTGAAGACAGGAGAGAGGAGGATGGATCATGTTACACTGTTGGCAGGATCAAAGAGTCCCTAGAGAACAGGAGAGTTGCAGACCTATGGTTGCTTTTTGGCTCTGATTAACACCAGGCAGTCTAAGTGGCCAGTGAGGAGGCACATTTAACATCTTCTGTAATAACACCCTTGACAGATGAACTCATTAGGTGTATACATGCTTGTATTCCCCCAGGAATTAATTTTAATGAAGTATTAATTAAAGTTGGATTGCTGCTCAGGAAGAAAAATTAACCTTACTTAATTAAGTTGATTTTTGATATTCAAAATGCCTTAAGAAGCCTGGTTGTTCCTCCTTCACAGGCTTTTCTGACACTTTGTGGAAATGAATGCAGATCATTGCAGTATCTATCAGAGTTAAACATGAAAAGATGTTTTCTAAACTGAGATTCCCCAGGCAGATGAAGGGCTGGGGAGCCCTGTGAAGCTGGCTCTGCTGCTTCTCCATGGACCTACAGCCACCCTCTGATGAGTGTCTGTAAAGCAAGGGGAGTGGGGGGGGGGGGGGGGTGATTAGCTTTAATCCAAGTCTTCCTGCCTGGTTGTCTGCTTGCTATGGCTTACTTGATTCTTAATAAGGTCTCAGAAATCAAAGACATGTGTATTCTCTTTTAATTATGAGCCTGTGGGTGAGAGAGAGGAGTGTGAATGAACAAGAGCCACGTTCCTTGTGAGGACTGTGGGGCTATAGGCTGCCAAAGGAGGTGTGGACCAGGTTAGTTTCCAGGGAAGTACCGTTCCTGGAAAGTTAACTGAAGCTCCCAGGAAACCTCTCTAGCTGCATCTCCAACCTTCTGGACATGGAATTAGGAGGGTGGGATTCCAGTCCAGATCCTGCTGCTATAAAATCCTGTGTGTTTGTGCTAATCATGGTGTTTCTGGCCTTAAGTTGCCTCATTTATAAAATTGTGCAGTTAGACTCAATGTTCCTAAGGCCCTTTATGGTTCTAATGTGAGTTCAAGATTCTTTTTTTTCTCTTCTTCTTCTTTATTTGATGTCGATAATCATAATTAACAATAGTAATTAAGCCTGATGTGATATATGTGATTTATCTAGCCTAAGATCCGGTCTGTTGCAAGCACTCAGTGTGTATTAGGTAGTGTCTTTTTCTAATTGAATATTTACTACTTGCTAGACACATACAGCATCACATGTAATCCTCATGAGAATCTTACGATACTGACTTTACTAAACATATTTTCAAATGAAGAAGCTAAGGCCCAGAAAAGAACCTGTCTAAGGTTACAGAGCTGCTCAGTACAGCAGGGTCTTGACCTGTCTTCCTAAATTCTGTGCTCATGTTCTTACCTGCTACCATGCATTCTGTCATCCTTTCTCCCTCTCGTATCTCCTCTGCTCGTCTGCCCTTCTTCCTTCTCCTTACTCATCTTTTTACCTTTTCAAACCCCAAGACAGAGTCAGGGTAGTTCTTAGATGAAAAAAGTAAAAGAACAGTCAGGGATGAAGTTATTAACCACTCTTTTCCAAGATAGCTCTCAAACCTTGCTAAGTTTGGTCCTGTTTGAATCTGAGACTTGTTTTCCCACCATCGTTCAGTTCATATTTCATATGAAATAGTACCAAAGGAAGTGGGATGATACTGGGACAGGTGAAGAAAGGGAGAGGGAACTAAAATGGATTTGCCCTACTATGTGCCTAACTATTTCTCTGTCTAGTCAATAACAATGAGAATTGTCATTTTTAATTCTAATTTTATATATCAGAGAAATTAATAATTTGCTCAAGATCTTGTAGTGAGGATGTGGTAAATGTAAGGATTGAACCCAGATCTTTCTGACTGCAAAGCCCCTGCCGTTTCTCGTTGGCCTTTCATATAAAGGCCAGGAAACAGACTTGGAAGAGTTTTCTAAACCCAGGAATTTATTTGAGGCTGTCAGCAAGTAGCATAGTCTATTACTTTGGGGCCCCCAAATATGAGAGAAATTAGGAGCAGTCCTGCATGGATGTAAAGGGATGTATGGTTGTGAGGCTTTTTCTGGTCAAGAGATCTACAACTCTCAGATCATATACATTCTAAGTTTTTCCAGGAGGGAAAGAAAAGTATCATTTTGAGTGGCTATTATGGTGGGGCTCCTCATGGGGGCCATCCTATAGGACTTTTTATCTGCCTGTTTCCTCTCAGTTACCTTCTAGGTCTTCACTTGGCATGGCTGTGTATCTTTGTGGTAATTACTTAGTTTCTATTATTTTGTGATAATTATGATGGTGACTATTACAAATTTGAGTCATACAATTCTTTTTTTTTTCCTTTGTTTTATTTTATTTTATTTTTTTCCATTTATTTTTATTAGTTGGAGGCTAATTACAATGAACATTGGGGTGCACGTGTCTCTTTCAGATCTGGTTTCCTTGTTGTGTATGCCCAGAAGTGGGATTGCTGGAACCTCTACACTAGATTTTCAATCTTTGTTTTTCAGTAGTATGTGATATAAATTTTGGTCATTTAAGAATCCAATATTCAGTTCCCATTTCTATTCAGGAGTGTGGTGATACTCTCCCACTTTGTTTTTCAGTAGTATGTGATATAAATTTTGGTCATTTAAGAATCCAATATTCAGTTCCCATTTCTATTCAGGAGTGTGCTGAGTCGTACAATTCTAATACCTACTTTTTCCTAGTAGAAAACTCCCTCCCAAATTTACCCTTAGATCATCTCTAAAATAGGTTGTAAAGAACTTGAGGACTCAACTCAGGCATCATTTTTCCTTGAAATTCTTCCCTGGGGCTTCCAGCTTCCTACCCAGACAGGATAGGAACACTGTATGTGTACCTCATCAACGATGCTGGGATCTCACTGAGATGACTGACTCTTCCTCATTAAATTGGGGGTGCTCATATGTAGAGTACACATGTGGGCTTAGATGTGTAAACATAGATTCTAATATTTCTACTGCTGCGTCTGATACTTAGTGACGCTGAATAAATATTAAACAGGCTTACTTGACAATGAGAAGCTAGTCACTTCTCTTAAAAAGAAGAAAATAGAGAAAATAAAAAGGTGGGGGAAAGCCCATTCGATTGCATCATTCATGGGCTCCAGTTCTTTGACTTGAACTCTACGGACAGTGTAAACAAAGAAAGGCAGGTGGGGAATCCGAGCTGCCTGTGGGAGCTCTCCTCTGCAGCCTGTGTAGCAGGCAGAGATGGATTACTAGGCAGTCAGAGTGAGGATCCTTGAATGGGCTAATGAAGGAACACCTGTGGTTTGCTCTTTCCCTATTCTGTTTAATGCCTCTCAAGACATACGACCTCTCAGACCTTGCTAAGTGTGGATCCTTTCTGATCCTGGTCAGTTAACTCTTGACTCCATCCTCTTTACTCTGTAGGCAAAGCTCTGATTTTTTACTCAAGGCAAGGTTAGTAGCCAAGTTTACTAGTCCACAAGTCTGTGAGGGAATTTTGAGTTGCTATGGATCTTTTCTCTCTTACAGTAAATAGAGTGAATGGAAGAATAATTTTCTACTCAGCTGTACCAAAGATGTACTTTAATTAGGATCAGAGGGGAAACAGAAGGAAGATATGAAGAAGATGTCCCCCAGGCTCGTTTCTTCTGCAGATTCAAGGGTCTGCTTGATTCTGTTTGCCAGCTTTGTGAATTCTTGGTGACTAAAGGCGTCTGGAGGGTTAAAGACTTCTAAGTATTTAATTGCAGTGTTATTAATAACCTTGAATAATTAGAAACCATCTAAATATTCCATGTTAAGTGATTCACTAAATCATAATGAATCTATAGAGTGAAATATTATACAGTTATAAATCACATTGTCAAAGATCATTAATGGCATTAGAAAGAGCTTGTGGTATAATATATAAAAAGCTGTATATCCATCATGACCACAATTTTGATCACATACTTAGAATGAAGACTAGAAGGAAGTATACAAAGAAGTTAAGAATGTTATGAATGATTTAATTTTCCTTTGAATATTTTATCTGTTTTATAAGTTTTCTTTAATATTTTCAATTGAAAGTGAGGAACAATCCCAACAAATGTTATTTTATGAAAACAAAACTTTCCGTCTCTACTTTGAGAGAAGAGCTACATAATAAAGAGAGGTGACAAACATGTGCTTGGAACTTTCTTATGCATCCAGAACCTCAGCTATTAATATAAATTGTGCTGAACTTTCAAATATCTTCCTTTTGCCTGAGGACAAGAGGCCAGCTGGCTGTTTGCTGGTCTGGAAAGCTCAGGGAGAATGTAGGGAGAAGTATTTACTCAAGTCCTCATTTTCTTTGTCCAGGAGAAAAAAGTCATTTAAAAAAAAGGCATTTGTGGCAAGTGTCATCT